TTTTTTTTTATTAAATTCTTTTTAACAAACCAATATTTAATGTTGACATTGAAACAATTTTATACCTGGATAAGATTACAGTTTAAGTATCCCTTTTATTAAGATTAATAATTAGTTTATGTTAGATTAGAGTATAGGTTAAGTTAGATTAGAGTATAGGTTAAGTTAGATTAGAGCGTAGGTTAGTGTAGAATGGGGGATTATTCAAACTGTATTCTTATCCTTTTTTATCACTGTGAATTTTTAAATGTTTTTGATAGGTTTTTCGATTAAATTATTTGGAATAAACAATTTTTTTAATGCTGGCATATTTTTTTGGAACAAATTTTGCATTTGAATGATCTTTATTAGCGTATTTGAAATGTCACTGATCGGATTTTTTATCAAATTATTTGGAACCAACACATTTCTATTGACATTTCTTTGGAACAAACGTTTCTTCATGATTATTATTGGCGCAAGGTATTAAACATTCCTGGATGAATTTTTTATAACAAATTTCACACTTGATCGTTTTTTACTGGAACAAATCATTATTAAATGTTCTTGTTTATTTTTTCATTAAATACCTTGAAACAAACATATTTCTGTTGACATTTCTTTCGAACAAACGTTACTTTTTAATACCGGTATTTATTTGGAAAAAATATCACACTTGGACGGTTTTTAGTGGAACAAACAAAATATTCCTGATCGGTTTTTTGATTAAATTATTTAAAAACAAACAAATAATAGGCATATTTAAATGGTTTTTTATTGCTGTTAAATTTTCTAGTAAAGCATTTGAAACAAATATCACATTTTGATGATTTTACTGAAGGAAATCACTATTAAATGTTGCTGCTCATTTTTTAAATTAAATTCTTTGTAACAAACGAATATTTAATGTTGGCATTGAAACAAAAATACACTTGGATGAGAGTACAGTTTAAGTACCCCTTTTATTAAGATTAATAATTATTTTATGTTAGATTAGAGTATAGGTTAAGTTAGATTAGAGCGTAGGTTAGTGTAGAATGGGGGATTATTCAAACTGTATTCTTATCCTTTTTTATCACTGTGAATTTTTAAATGTTGTTAATAGGTTTTCCATTAAATTAATTGGAATAATAATAAACAATTTTTTTAATACTGGCATATTTTTTTGGAACAAATTTTGCATTTGAATGGTCTTTATTAGCATATTTGAAATGTCACTGATCGGATTTTTTTATCAAATTATTTGGAACCAACATATTTTTATTGGCATTTCTTTGGAACAAACGTTTTATGATTATTATTGGCGCAAGGTATTAAAACCTTCCTGGATGAATTTTTTTAACAAATTTCACACTTGATCGGTTTTTACTGGAACAAATCATTATTAAATGTTCCTGGTTTGTTTTTTGATTCAATTATTTAAAACAAACGAATAATATGCATATTTAAATGGTTTTTTATTGCTTCTAAATTGCTGTTAAATTTTCTAGTAAAGTCTTTGAAACAAATGTCACATTTTGATGATTTTACTGGAGGAAATCACTTTTAAATTTTTATGATCGGATTTTTTATCAAATTCTTTGGAACAAACTCATTTCTGTTCACATTTCTTTGGAACAAACGTTACTTCATGGTTTTTTACTGTCAGAAGGTATTAAAAATTCGAGGGCGGATTTTTAATAATTTTTTTTTTTTAACAAATCTTTAATACCGGCATTTCTTTGGAAAAAATGTCACACTTGGACGGTTTTTACTGGAACAAACATTATTAAATGTTCCTGATAGATTTTTTGATTAAATTATTTAAATACAAACAAATAATAGACATTTAAATGGTTTTTTTATTGCTGTTAAATTTTCTAATAAATCCTTTGAAACAAATGTCACATTTTGATGATTTTACCGGAGGAAATCACTTTTAAATGTTCCTGCTCGTTTTTTTTTTTTAGTAAAGTATTTGGAACGATCACATTTCTGTCAACAACTTCTTTGGAACAAACGTTACTTCATGGTTTTTTTACTGTCCAGAGGTATTAAAAATTCCTAGCCGGATTTTTAATTCATTTATTTTGAACAAATTTTTAATACCGGCATTTCTTTGGACGGTTTTTACTGGAACGAACAATATTAAATGTTCTTTGTAACAAATGTTTAATGCTGACAATAAAACACATTTTGCATTTGGATGGTTTTTGGGTGAGAGTACTGTTTAAGTGGCCCTTTTAATAAGATTAATAATTAGGTTAAGTTAGATTTAAGTATAGGTTAAGTTAGATCATAATTTAGGTTAAATTAGGTTAGTGTAAAATAAAGGGCTACTCAAATTGTATTCTCACCTTTGGAACAAAAGTTCAATTTGGACGGTTTTTCATTGGCGCGAATTATTAAATGTCGCCTGATAGAATTTTAGATTAAATTATTGGAAACTCACAAATATCAGGTATTCTAAAATGTGCTTTCATTGCTGCAAAGTTGCTATTAGATTTCCTAGCAAATTCTTTGGAACAGATTTCACATTCGAACGGTATTTCCTTCATACAGGGTGTTTCAAAAATTTAAACTTTCGAAAATAGAGCAAATTGTTAATGCAAGAAGAACACAATAGTGTATTCAGAAATAATTGATAGTTGTAAAAAGCGTCTGTTAGAAAAAGAGATGCAAATCTAGGAAATTAGTATTTTGACTTAATGAAGGGTTCAATATCTAATTTTTGATGGATATATGAAAATAATCTATTAATAGTTGCTCCATATTTCTGAAACGCCCTGTACAGGTAAGTTATTTAAATGCAGTAAAGTATTCGTGTTTTAGAGGTTATTTTGGTTGAATGAAATTTAAAAATATATTTTTTGACGAAAAATATTTACAACTAATAAAAAGAACGGTCAGGTTCCCGTTGCCCACCCTGTACACGATTATTTATCGAAAGAAAACACATTTAACGCTATACAGAGTATACGAATTGCATTGGAAAGATTATCCAAATAAATAATAGATTATTTAAAATCGATTATTTTAGATTAATCGATTTTTTCATTCGATTATTTTCGTTAAATCGATCACTTTTGCTTTATCCTTTGTTTTCGATTATTGGATTAATCGAAAGATCGATTATTTTCAAGTAATCAGTAGAAAATTGATTATTTTTGATTAATCGATTATTTTAATTATTTAATTAATCGTATATTTTTTATTATTCAATCATTTTTTTATTCGATTAATCGAAAAATCAATTATTTTCCATTATTTTCGATTATCTTTTAATTATTTTTTAATAACAATTATTTTCGATTCATCGATTATTTTTTATTCGATTAATCGATTATTTTCGTTATAACGAGCGCTTTTGCTTTATCGTTTGTTTTCATTTATTGGATTAATCGAAAGATCGATTATTTTCCATCAATCCGTTATTTTCAAGTAATCAGTAGAAAATCGATTATTTTTCATTTTGAATATTTTCGATTATCAAAATAAATAATCGATTATTTTTGATTACACAATTATTTTCGATTAATCGATTATTTTTAATCATTCCATTATTTTCGTTAAATCGATCACTTTTGCTTATTCTTTGTTGTCGATTATTGGATTAGCCGAAAGATCGATTATTTTCCATTAATCGGTTATTTTCAAGTAATCAGTAGAAAATCGATTCTTTTCCATTAATTATTTTCGATTTTCAAAATCGATTATTTTTTATTACACAATTGTTTTCGATTAATCGATATTTTTTATTAATCGATTATTTTTGATTATTCAATCAATTTCGATTTATTTTATTCGATTATTTGTGATTAATTGATTTTTTTTCGATTAATCGATTATTTTTAACTATTCAGTTATTTTCGTTGAATCGATCATTTTTGCTTCATCCTTTGTTTTTGATTAGTGGATTAATCGAAAGAACGATTATTTTTAAGTAATCGGTAGAAAATCGATTCTTTTCCATTAATTGATTATTTTCGTTTATCAAAATAAATAATCGATTATTTTTGATTATCTAATTAATCGATTATTTTTGAGATTATTCAATAATTTTTTTTCGATCATTTGCGATTAATCGATTTGTATTATTTGTGATTAATCGATTTTTTTATTCGATTAATCGATTATTTTTGATTATTCGATTATTTTTGATTATTCGATTAATCGAATATTTTCGTTAAATCAATCACTTTTGCTTTATCTTTTGTTTTCGATTATTGGATTAATCGAAAGATCGATTATTTTCCATTAATCGGTTATTTTCAAATAATCAGTAGAAAATCGATTAATTCCCATTAATTGATTATTTTTGATTATACAATTATTTTATATTAATCGATTATTTTCAATTAATCGATATTTTTGATTATTCAATCATTTTTTTATTCGATTATTTGCGATTAATCGATTTATTTATTTGATTATTTGTGATAAATCGATTATTCGTTAATTTATTATTCATTATTTTGGATTAATCGATTATTTTCTTTAAATCGATTACTTTTGCTTTATCTATTAATTTCGATTATTTGATTAATCAAAAGCGATTATTTTCAAGAAATAAATAGAAAATCGATTATTTTAGATTTTTTTATTAATCGATTATTTTTAATTAATTATCGATTTTTCTAAAAAATAAAATAATCGATTATTTTGCTCATACCTTATTGGGACCTCCTGTAAAAAATATTACGACGATTTTCACCATAAATACTTACCTACCTGTTGTATTACAATAATTATTTTACCACTGCGCCTGCGCCAAATATACCTCTTATACAGTATGTTGAAACAAATCCTTTTCTTCTAAAGCGCGTTATCGTGAAAATCTTCGAGTTGTCCATAAACATTTTCGTTGTTTTTTTTTATATATATAGGTATTTCTTACTCACCTTTTAATGATGTACCTTTACTTTAATGTTACGATATAGATACGATAAAAATAATTATTTAAATTTAAGGTTGTAATAAAAAAAAGATCCAATAAAATAAAAAATACATTTTAAGAAGTTTTTTATTTACGAAATTTTAACCAATAACAAATTTTTATTATAACTACAAATCAATATTATGAAACTCTAAAATAACACAAAATGTATATTCTTATATAAATAAAACGTTTTTTCTTTTTTTAATTCAACTTAATTATGTGGAATACTTTTTAAGGAAACAAATTATTAATGTCGGAAGTTAGATTTTCCAATAATTTATCTACATCCACAGGTATTTCGTCACTGTCGTCAACAAAATCTTCTGAAGACTCGATACGAATCACTCTTCTACGTTTCTTTTCTCCAATTTTCTTATTTCCAATCTTTGTAGCCGAATTTTTACGTACAATAGTTTTCTTATTTTTCGAAACTAATGGTTTTTTATACCTAATAACATTCATAAAAAATCAACATTATTTTGAAATTTTTCGACCAGCTATATCCCCAATCAGACTCTAAACATATTAGTTAAAATTGCCATAAATAAAACAACGATAGTAATATAAAAGGTAAGGGAGGACTAAAGGAAGAATTTAAAGTGAAATAACACATTTTAAAAACAAAATAATTTAATTTTCTCATTCTTAAATGCGTAATTTTGTATATCTGCTACTTTGGTCCCATTAGCATCGCTAGTCGTTATAAAAAATAAGCAAAGCTTAAAATAACATTTTTCTATTAAAAATGTCATATATTAAGCTTCGCTTGCAAATGGCCCTAATTTAATTTGTTGTTTGCAATTAAATTAAAATTGGAGCCGATTTCATAATGAATATTAAAAGATTCATTAACTAATTAGAGAATTAAGTCCATAAGATTGTACTTTCAAAAATTGTCCAGGTTTTATGTCATCCAGGTAAAATTAAATTTAATATTAGTAAAATTAAACAGAAAAAAGGTTTTATTGAAATAACCACGAAATTGTCTAAATTTTATTTCATATCCCAGTAAAATTAAATTTAAAATTGGACAATAAAAAGACACGAGAAATAGGTTTTACTGAAATTATTAGGAAATTATCCAGGTTTTATTTAGCCCAGTAAAATTAGACAGTAAAAAGTTGAGAAATATAGAGATTTTATTAAAATACGAAATTGTCTACGTTTTATTTCATAGCCCATTTAAAATTGGACAAAAAATACGTGGGAAATAAGTTTTATTGAAATTACCACGAAATTTTCCAGGTTTTATTTTATAGCCCAGTCAAATTACTTTTCAGATTTGACAGTAAAAAATACACGAACAATAGATTTTATGGAAATAACTACAAAATTGTTCAGGTTTTATCTCATAACCCAGCAAAATTGCATTTAAAATTGGACAATAAAAAATATACGGAAAATAGGTTATATGAAAATTACTTCCAAATTTGTCAGGTTTTATTTCATAGCCCAGTCAAATTACATTTAAATATGACTGTAAAATATACACGAAAAGTAGGTTTTATGGAAATTACTACGAAATTGTTTAGGTTTTATTTTATAGCCCAGTAAAATTGCATTAAGAAAATAATTTTTTTTGGAAAAATAGAGATTATATGGAAATCACTACAAAATTGTGTACGTTTTATTTTATAGCCTAATTAAATTATATTGAAAATTTGGCAAAATATACGGAAAATAGTTTATATGAAAATTACTACGAAACTGTCCAGGTTTGATTTCATAGCCCAGAAAAATTGCATTTAAAATTGGACAATAAAAAATATGCGGAAAATAGGTTATATGGAAATTACTTCGAAATTTGCCAGTTTTATTTCATAGTCCAGTCAAATTTCATTCAAGATTTGACTGTAAAATATACACGAAAAGGTTTTATGAAAATTAATACGAAATTGTTCAGGCTTTATTTCATAGCCCAGTAAAATTGAATTTAGACAATAAAATAGAAATTATATGGAAATCACTACAAAATTGTCTAGGTTTTATTTTATTGCCCAGTGAAATTATATAAAAAAAAGATGGAAAATAGTGGCTAAATAGAGATTACTACGAAATTGTCCAGATTTTATTTTATAGCCCAGTAAAATAACATATTAAATTGGACAAGAAAAATAGAGATTATATTGAAATTACGAAATAGACAATGTTTTATTTCACAGCCCAGTAAAATTACATGGAAAATAGGTATAATTGAAATTAGTACGAAATTATCTAGGTTTTATTTCAGTAAAAATTACTACGAAAGTTTTCAGGTTTTATTTCATAGTCCAGTAAAATTAGATTTAATATTAGACATTAAAAATTTACGAATTATAGAGATTTTATTAAAAACACTACGAAAATGTCTAGGTTTAATTTCATAGCTCAGTAAAATTACATTTATAATTGGACAACAAAAAATACATGGGATTTATTGAATTTACTAAGAAATTGTCTAGCTTTTATTTCATAGCCCAGTAAAATTACATTTCAAATTGGACAATAAAAAAAAGATACGAAATAGATTCTATTGAAAACACTACAATGGAGATTATATGGAAATTACTACAAAATTGTCCAGATTTTATTTTATAGCCCAGTCAAAACAAATATAAATTTTATAACAAAAATATATGGAAAATAGAAGTTATATAGAAATTACTACGAATTTGTCCAGATTTTATTTTACAGCCCAGTAAAATGGCCCATAAAATTGGACAAAAAAATACGAAAAATATAAATTATATTGAAATTACTACGAAATTGATAATGTTTTATTTCATAGCCCAGTAAAATTACAAGTAAAATTGGACAATACGTTCAATATATTTTAGTTGTTTGGAGTATACGAAGTTATATCAAAATGTCTGAAATTACCATTTCAACGTTTTATTTAATAAGAATTAAATTATCTATTATAGATTGATATAATTAATTTTTTTAATGTTGAATAACTGCACCATTAATAAAAAGTAACTTTTTAAATAAATGAACCTAAAATTGTTTTATTTTTCTTATTACGTTACCATAAATATATTATCAAATATTTACCGTTTTATGAAGCTGTACGTGCGCAACCGTTCCAACAGAGGCATCGCGCATGCGTCGCCAGCTTGCTTGACGGCGACGCCCAATCGAGTTTTGTACTGGTTGGTTCTTTTTTTCTCCTGGATTACGGGATTTTTCATGTTCGCTTGGAACGGCTTGAGATGCAAAGGTCGCATCCAAGCGCGCGACACCTCGTACGAATCGAAAAAAGTCACGTGGTACCAAGTCTGAAAGAATCGTGGCCGATTAAAAACATCTCGAATCCCGAAAAGGAAAATCGTCACTCACCGGTTCCAATGAATCCCCTTCCAACCAGAAATAATCCTCTGTATCTGGATCGTCCTCGACCATGGCCGGCCACCACGGAAACCCGTCCATTTTGGCCCACACTATGCTACCGGCGTTGTACAAGTTGTGTATCAAAAATTCTTCGTCCTCCACGACCACCTCGGGATCGGTGCACTTGTTGTGCTCCGGATCCGGGTTCATGTTGCAATACCATTTTGGGGGTAAATCTGAAGGGGTAATATCAATTTTACTTATGAGAAGAGATAAAAATATATAAGTAAAAAAAAGATTACAGAAAAACAGAAGAAATAAGAGCTACAGAAAATAAAAATATAACAAAAGGCAGAATAATATAGAAAGAAAAAAAGGAAGAAAATGAAATAAAAAGGAAGAACACTAATGAAAAGGAAAGAAAGAAGAAAAATTTATAAAAATTCAAAAATTAATCTATATAAAAAGCTATAAGAATGATAAAATCTATTAAAAAATATATAAAACTATAAAAACATGAAATTCAAAAAAAATCTATAAAAATGTAAAATCTATAACATTTTAAAAATCTAGTAAAACCTATAAAAATCTATTAAATCCTATAAAAATTTACAAAAATCTATAAAAACATATAAAAGTCCATAAAATTTTATAAAAATATATTAAAATCTATAAAAATCTATTAAAAACCTATAAAAATCTATTAAAAATCTACAAATATCTATAGACTCTATTAAAATCCATAAAATTTTACAAAAAAATTATAAAACTTACAAAATTCTATTAAAACCTATAAAAGTCTATAAAAATGTATAAAAATCTACAAAAATTTATAGAAATCTATTAAAATCTATAAAAACCTTTAAAAATCCATAAAATTTATAAAATCTATAAAAAGCTATAAACATCTATAAAAATCTGTTAAAAATGTTTTAAAATCTATAAAAATGTATAAAAATCTATTAAAATCTAATAAAAAATCTATAAAAAGTCTATAAAAATATATAAAATTCCAAAAATCTAGTAAAACCTATAAAAATCTAGTAAAACCTATAAAAATATATATTAAAAACCTATAAAAATCTATTACAAATCTATAAAAATCTAATAAAAACCTATAAAAGTCCATAAAATTTTATAAAAATATATTAAAATCTATAAAAAGCTATTAAAAATCTATTAAAAATTTACAAATATCTATAGACTCTATTAAAATCCATAAAATTTTTACAAAAAAATTATAATACTTACAAAATTCTATTAAAATCTATAAAAGTCTATAAAAATGTATAAAAATCTATAAAAAAAGCTATAAAAACCTATAAAAATCTGTTAAAAATGTTTAAAAATCTATAAAAATGTATACAAATCTATTAAAATCTAATAAAAACCTATAAACATCTATAGAAGTCTATAAAAATATATAAAATTTCAGAAATCTGTAAAATCTATTAAAAACCTATTATAAATCGATAAAAAATCTATTAAAAATCTACAAATATGTATAGACTATTAAAATCCATAAAATTCTATAAAAAATCTATAAAACTTACAAAATTCTATAAAATCTAATAAAAATCTAGCAAAATATAAAATCTATAAAAACCTATAAAAATCTATAAAATTCTCTAAACTCTTATAAAATCCATAAAAATGTATAAAAACCTAAAAAATTATAAGAATCTATTAATTTCCATAAAAACCTATTAAAACTTATAAAAATGTTTAAAAATCTATAAAAATATAAAAAAATCTATTAAAATCTAATAAAAATTTAATAAAAACTATAAAAGTTTAAAAAAAAATCAATATTAAAAATATATATAAAAATGTATAAAAACCTATAAAAATATATAAAATCTAGTAAAACCTTTAAAAATTAGTAAAACCTATAAAAATCTATCAAAAACCTATAAAAATTTATTAAAAATAGGTTTTATTGAAATTACTACAAAAATGTCGCAAATTTTATTTCATAGCCCAGTAAAATTACGTGTAAAATTGGACAATACGTTCAATAATAATGTACACATACCTAAGGGATCTTTAGTATCCGGCAAATATCTGGTTTTGTTACACGAATCGCAGTAAACGTACAAACCAACGTTTCGAGATTCTTGAATTTTCATCATCCTCTCATACAACTCTTCGGCCGTTTCAATAGAATTTTCTTTCGATATCGGTCTTTTGATTTTACCGTCGGTTTTTTTAGATATTTCTTTTCCATTTTTCTTTAAACTGTCCTCGGAACCGCCTGTTGTATCGGTTTTTTCGTTGCGTTTCTTTACATGTTTATTCTTTTCGTTCAAAAGATTTTCGAACATTTTTTTCTGTGTGGCTTTTTTCTTGGTCGTTTCTTTTTTCTGTTTCGGTGTAGAGGTGTTGCCTTTTTTGACATTCTTCTTACCTTTTTTCGTATCTACATATTTAAACATAATAAAGAGATTCAGAAAAAAAAACTAAATAATTTCAGTAAAATAAGATTTAAGAAATATTTAGAAATGTCCAAAAAAATAGTCTAGTATACAGGGTGTGCCAATAAAAACTCCGAGACAGGATATTTTGAAAAGGAATAGATATTTTAATTATGTAAAAGCAAGTTTGCAAATGTGGCAAATTTAAAAAAATGCATTTTCAAGCAGATTTTGTTATATGGACTAATCTGAAAATATTTGCCATTTTCGATATATTTAAGTCCAAAAATTGCTTTCGACTTAGAACTAATAAAAATCAATTATTCCGACTTACAACTAAGAAAAATAGATTATTTCGACTTAGAACTTGGAAAATCGATTATTCCGATTTAGATCTCGAAAAAATCAATAATTCCAACCTAGTCGGATACATCGACTAAGAAAAATAAATTATTTCGACTTATAACTTGAAAAAATCGTATATTCCGAATTAAAACTTGGAAAAATCGATTATTCCATCTTAGAACTCGGAAAAGTCAATAATTCCGACTTAGATTTCGGAAAAATCGATTTTTCTGACTTGGAACTCAGAAAAATTGATTATTTCGACTTAGAAAGCGGAAAAATCGATAATTTCGACTAAAACTCGGAAAATTCGATTTTTCTGACATGTATAACTTGGAAAAATTGATTATTTTGATTTAGAACCCGGAAAAATTAATTTACCGATTTAGAACTCGGAAAAATTGATTTTTTCGACTTAGAACTAATAAAAATCGATTATTCCGACTTAAAACTCAGAAAAGTAGATTTTTTTCGACTTAGAACTTGAAAAATCGAATATTCCGAATTAAAACTTGGAAAAATCAATTATTCCGTCTTAGAACTCGGAAAAATCAATAATGCCGACTTAAGACTCGAAAAAATCGATTTTTCTGACTTGGAACTCGGAAAAATCGATTATACCCAGACAGCACACCAAATCCTTTGGATATCTACTGAACATCCCAATATCCACTGAATGTCCAGTCCATGGTGGATATCTATTTTATATCCATGAAATGTAATTTATAGACATGCAAATGTCCATAAATAATTGTAATTATATAGCAAATTATTAAAAAATTACGCCATTGTACTCGCCATTGTGGCTAATAGTACCGTTGAGATATTTAAAATTAATTTTTTTTAAGGTGTATTCAATATCCCATGGACATCCACTATAAATATAAATATATCAAAGTCTAAGCGCGGACGCAAACCATCGTGGATATCTACTAGATGTAATTTTTGATTTTGCTTCCTAAGTATAGATGGCGATACCACTTTCGTATCTACTCATGCTTAACCCGCCGTAATTGAGTTTGATCGACATTGTTTTACAAACAGACTTCATTAGAGAGTGAAGTCGAGAAGTTCCATTTATTGCTGAAGATTCCTAATAAGGATGATTTTCTCCATAGTAGGCAAAATCAAAGGCAGATTGTTGGGAATATTTTTTACCTCTATTTTCTTTCGAAGTTATTCAATAACAATTGGTTACTTATGAACCTCTACTAAAAATAATTGTAAAATATTTTTCTGAATTTCTATATCCTGGGATATAGACGGACATTTGGTTGGATATCCACAAAATATATTCTATGGATATATCTGGGATTTCTTGTATTGTCTGGAGATACTCATTAGATATTTTGCTGAATACCCATAGGATATCTTCTATATTCTGGATATAGACGGACATTTGGATATCCATATTAGTTCCACGGAATATTTCTGATATCCTGTGGATATATTGGATATCCACAAAATATATTCTGTGGATATCTCTGGGATTTGGTGTGTTGTCTGGGTATCGACTTAGAACTCGTAAAAATCGATCATTCCGACTTAGAACTCGAAAATATCGATATTTCTCATTTATAACTCGCAAAAATAAAATAAAATTCCAACTTAAAACTTGGAAAAATCGATTATTCTGATTTAAAACTAGAAAAAATCGATTATTCCGAGTTAAAACTCGGAAAATTCGATATTTTTGACTTATGTATAACTTGGAAAATCGATTATTCCGATATGGAACTCGGAAAATTAATTTACCGATTTAGAACTCAAAAAATTGATTTTTTCGACTTAGAATTAATAAAAATCGATTATTCCGACTCAAAACTCAGAAAAATAGATTATTTCAACTTAGAACTTGAAAAACTCGATTTTTCTGACCTATAACTTGGAAAAATCGACTATTCCGATTTAGAACTTGGAAAAATCAATTAGTTCGACTTACAACTCGGAAAAATGGATTATTCCTGCTTAGAAGTCGGAAAAATTCCAACTTAGAACTCGAAAACATTGATTTTTCTAACTTATAAAATCGAATATTCCGAGTTAAAACTTGGAAAAATCGATTATTCCCTCATAGAACTCGGAAAAGTCAATAATTCCGACTAAGGACTCGAAATACAAAGGTGATAGAGTGGGTGCTATGAACTAACATGGGGTAAAACACAATAAGCCAATAGGCTTCAGTGTTATTCGGAGACACATAGTCAGACGAGCCCAGGAGAGAGAAAAAAAAAGGACTCGAAAAAATCGATTTTTCTGACTTGGAGCGAGAAAAAATCCATTATATCGACTTAGAACTCGCAAAAATAAATTATTCCGACTAAGAATACGGAAAAATCAATATTATCAACTTAAAACTTGGAAAAATCGATTATATTCCAACTTAGAACTAAAAAAATCGATTATTCAGATTTAGAACTTGAACTAATAAAAATTGATTATTTCGACTTACAATTTGGAAAAGTCAACAATTCCGACTTAACTCGGAAAATTCGACTTATGTATAACTTGGAAAATCGATTATTTCGATTTAGAACTCGGAAAAATCGATTATTCTGACTTACAACTCAGAAAAGTACATCTTTTTGCTAAACCCTGTATAATGAAATTATAATTCTGATATAGGTACCTTATTTTGGATTTTAAATATTCTATGTATAATATTTAAATATATTTAAACACTTTCTTTTCCTTTTGAGAAATTTACATACTAAATCGCAAAATTAAAAAAAAAACTATCTTTGAATGAAACTATACACCTAGACTAAAAGTAATTCTATATTATTAAATTAAATTTCCTTACCTAATAAACCTGATTCAATCCATTCTTGCGAGAACTTCCAAAAATCATCTTCCAACTCTTTGGGAAAAGTTTCATCCCAGTGCTTCAAATATTTCTCTTTGACCTCCGGTCTACTTAAAACTTCCTCCGTTAAAGCAGAAGCAACACCGGAATCATCATGTGGAGTATCATCGAACAAATCGTCAATTGATTGATCGAATTTAGATGCAGATTGATCTAACGAAGGCGATTCTACAATTTTCGGCGTGTCGTTCGATTTTTTAGAAGTTTGAGAACTGGTTTGCTCGATGGATAACGTTAAACTTACTGATTTTCTAATGGTTTTCTTCTTGTATCGAGATTTACCTGAACTGGAGTTTGATATATTGTCGTTATCAAACTTTCCTCTTTTCGAAACTCCTTTATTTTGTGCATTTAAGACTTTCTCGATATTTTCTTTCGTCAATAAAGGCACCTTGAACGGAGTTTTGGTTTTATTAGGCAGGGCAAACGCCTTTTTTGACAAGAGCGGCATATTTCTTTTGAAAATTATACTTATAAAATTGTTTAAACGATTTAAAACCAACACTAAAATGGCTACCAGCCTCAAATTTCAAAAGCAGTCATTTGTTTTTAAACGACCGCTTGTTGGTGCGCTCGACCAATCAGAAAAGCGAACGGGGACATAACTAGTCAAATGTCAACTTAAATCATCGAAAAGTTTTTCCATTTGAAAATAATTAATTGTATTATTAAATTTGAAATAATAAAAATCAATACGCTTAGTCAATTCCATTATTCATGAGGCTAGTATGCAATCATATTAGAAGTTTCATCCTATTTATTCCGATTGCTGTGACGTATGCACTTCTTGTACAAACTAGTTGAGTAAGTGAAGGTGGGGGCGAGTGGCGCTTTTTATTACAAAACTGCATAATTTTATTTAGAAAAAAATAGTCATCAATGTGAACACATTAGTATTGCGAACAACTTCTGCTGTTATAGGTTATTAAATCAGGAAATATTAGATATCTACTTTTAACGGACTATGTGACTATATTTTATGTTATAAAAAATTATTTGATGATGTAGATCTATAACCAAATTTGAGTAAAATGTGTCTCATTTTTGTTTGTACGAACGAGATACAGAACGATACATTTTAGATTATTTAATATAATTTTAATATTAACTACAGGGTGATTCATTAAGGGTGGCGACCGGCCGTATCTCAGAATATCTTGAAGTAGAATTTTTTTTGAAAAGAACGCAAAGACAGGTCCATTTTTATTTCAAGAGGACACCTTTTTATAATATCTGTTAATTTGACACTTTGAATTACCTATTTAAATTTTTTATTTGTACCGGTCCGGTTGGTTCATGGTTCCTCAATTCTATTATATTTTATCGAAAAAGTAATTATAAAAGTAATTCCTAATTCCTTTTTTCATGTAATTATAATTAAATCAATATAATTCCCAATTTTGTCAACATGTACTTTGTACTTGTAATGAATTCCTTTTTTGAAAAAATACTTTGTAAAGGTGCAAGTAATTACCCATCTCTGAGATAGCGCCAAGTAATAATAATTAAAAACAATTTGTAAGTGAATATTTAGTCCCACGACATTAAGCGTCATGTCACAGGTGTTTTCCACAAAAACAAGAACATCCTGCGAAATGCAGGACACCTGTCAACCCTAGTTTGGTACTTTTACACACTCGCCTAATAAAATTGCGTAATTTTTAGTCACGAACTTCATTTGTTTGCTGGACTTTAATGTATAAATCATACATCACAAGTAAAAGCAATAACGATGACGACAGGCAATCAAATGAAAAAACAGGTATTTTACAAAAACATATCCTTTTTTGAGGTTTTACCTCTTCAAAAATTCATTATTTAGGTATAAATTTGGATTTAAAAATCTAGCATTTGAGTAAAAAGCGTGACATTTAAGTAACAAGCGTGGCATATTTGAGTAAGTACTTCAGCCTTCAGCGCAACGCGTAGTAAGTGAAAAAGCGTTTCAATCCCGCCTAAAGCATGGCATCTGCCAACCCTAATCACATTATCGAATAAAAACTAATACATCGATTTTATTTTTGTAATTTTGTCTATAGGTAGTTCCTAATTTATTTCCCTACTTTCCCCCGCAACCACGTATAGTGCAAAGTGCAGGAAACTAGATATACCTGCATATGGAAGAAGAGCATAAAACTTTTTTTAAAATTTATTAAATTCGTGCTATTTTTAACGGCCAAAATATGTGATCCGTCCCATTATCTCACATTTATTGTAAACAAATCCGAAATAATTTAGAAAATTTAAAGAGGAAATCAGGAAATACAACTCAAACGTAATCGAAACGTATAAATATATCTTTATCACAAAGCGGTAATGATAATAGAAATGCGAGTAGAATGTCCTACATCGTTGCCAAACCGTAAAGAAAAGTAAGATAGATGTGACAATTGATATTAAAGAAAAATGTGAAATACTCATTTGTGTCAATATTGCTATAAAAAAATCGAAATAAAATGTCATATTGAAGATTTAATGATAAGCTGTTATTTTATATCGAAAAATTTTTTTAAAGTGTCTTTGTGAAAAAAAAAAAAAAATGTAATTTTGGTTTTCACTGTTCAATTTTTTGAAGTAAACAGACCCGTGTTGATATTTTTGACCACTGTAATGTTCTCCAAAGGAAGAATACAATGCAGGCGGATCTGGGAAGGTTTTTCGAGGTGGTAAATATAATAATTCGTCACCATCATCTTGTAGAACTCGCTCTGCTCATTCCGCAAATATTTACTTGTTACATAAAAAAGCATTTCGCAACTGGTTCTTAAATCAATTTTTTTTTATTTTTACCTAAGATATTGCATTAGAGACGTTGTTAGAAACAATTTCACTCACCTATTTGACAGAAGTGATATTTCAGATGTCATAAAAGTCACTGAGAAAGGCTTTTTCATTAACTTTCTTGTTTTACCGTGCGATGGGATTAAAGACTCGTCATAATTACTTAAAAATCACCAGTTTAAACCAAATATCGAGTAAAGATCAATATGATATTTTACTTTAATTGTTAATTCATAAACAAAACAAAATACTTTTAATAATACATAGTATACTTTCCATATAGAGAAAGTAAAAGTTGAAAAGTCTTTTGGTAGGTAGAGAGGGGGTAAACGTCAAACCACGTCGGGCGGCTCCGAGAATTTCACAGTAATGTTTACCTGTCAGTGTCGTTTCATAAAATAAGTAATTTTAAATTGTTATCGGCGGAACCGGACAATCGCATGTATTTATGGATTATAAATAATTATTAAACATGTATTATAATATTCAAATTATAATTTTACAAAATTTCAACAGCTATTCACAATTTATTAAACTATTTACTCGAAATTGTTGTTAATATCTATAAAATAATTTTGTACGCCAATGTATCGCGTCCACTTCGGTGAGATCCGCTGCCAACCTGTCAATTTATGTGTATAAAGTGGGAGAAATGGCAATAGCATTTCCAACTTTTACTTCTGTTCTAAAGCAAAATTATTATGGTTCATTAAAAATATATTTTTATTTGGCAACACTGTAAGCTAATTGCACGGTTGTACGCTCGCATCTGCAGTACTATTAACGTCTTTATCTAACAAAAGTTGCATTCGGCCGCATTTCGTACTCTTTCGGTAACATTCGCTTGCCATATTAAAATGGAGTCTATTTTATGAGCACAACCACGGGGGTTTATATCATATGCACAATACGTAAACACGTTTCTGCGCATACTCCTCCGCGCTTGGGTGCTCTGAAGTCCGTTTTACAATAGCAAAATTGTATTAAAATGTAAAGCACATTGATTAATTTAATAACATCTCGTTCAGTAACACACAAAAAGTGTTGTTTCAAAAATTTTAATTCATATATTACAACAAACTAAAAAAAACATACCTTCACTTAGTTATTTGTACTATGTGAAGATGGCTTTCTGTCCGCTGCATGACTGCTGGCTGCCCGCTATAGCGGGCCCCGCGCGCGCTGTCAACAAATAACATCAAAATCAAACAAATGTGTGGTTATGTTATGATTTGGTTTTTGGTTGTCGACAAAAACATGTGAGTGGAACTACTTTTATTTTTTTAGATATGTTATTTAGGATTATTTAAAGGTATTTTGATGCTTTAACATGTCTTTACCAGGCAGAATTCATTATAAACGCATAATTTCTAATTGTTATAGTACATTTTATAAGGTCCATTCCAAACGTAAATTTTAAGAACATTTTTAAATTTCCTTCTGATATTGATCAAAGAACGGAATGGTGTCGTATTTTAAACATTCCACTTACAACCCCAATCATTATACATTATGTGAAAATCATATTTTAATACAAAATTGTTTACAAACACAAATCGTTCAAGACTGCTGAAAGATTTGCTTTACCTTGCTTTAGCATCCTCAAAACCAGATACATCAAAGATAGTAGTACTTAGTAATATTGTTATCACACCTCTAAACAGAGTCCTGTGAGGATAAAGTTCATTCTAATAATATATACAAAATTAATAAATGAAGCAGAATTTGAGTCTAGCCACTAGTTATGTTGCAGGGTTTATTAAGAAACTTAATAGTTTTGACTGCAAAGAGTGTAAAGTTAATTTACAGACATGTTAGAAGACCATCGATACTTTTACTTATTTTAAAGATTTTATTTATGTACAAAGAAATGTTATTGAATTTCTTTCAAAAATTCTTGAAATAGTTTCACAACTTTTGGGTCATATTGACAACAATTCAAAAAATTAAACTTTTTTGCCAGATCATGTTGATTTTAAATGGTTTACATCAGAGGCGACTCGTGGCCTAGTCTATGAGGAGACTACTTTTAAAAGGCACACCCTATGTACTTAATAAAATTATATGTCTATTAAGAATTCAAAAAGCAGAAATATTACATTGTATTCTAATAGAAATATATATTTGTATAAAGTATATAGGATAAGCCAGCTTCCTCACAGACTAGGCCACAAGCCGTCTCTGGTTTACATATAAAGAACATAAAACAGACGTCTTTTCTCATTTCGTTGAAACTTGTCTACTATTAATAATAAGAAAGTATTATAATGCAATGTCTAAAAGTCAAACAAAATTATTTGAAGCTACTGCATTTAATTTTTTTCTGTTTCAGTTAATATGGATGGTTGCTTTTGTCTGATTTCCTAAGATTCAAGAAGAATTTGTTGTTTTGTTTTTTGTTTATTTTAAAAATTTATTTACTTAGGCATTAGTTTTCATATCAAGTAAATTAATTATTTGTTATGCAATTTCTGATTTTTGTTAGCCAGAGATTGTTAACGTACCGAAATAGTAATGTAATGTTTGTGATATTAGAGTAACTTTCTTAAAGAATCATTTATAAGACGTCCGGGAGCGCCATAGTAAATAATAATAATAATAGACATTCTTGCTCCGCATAAGCTCGCTTTTATGGGGGTGAAGTGCATGAAAAATTTTTTTTGTATTGCCATCTCTTTGATATATTTTTTATTTATTTTTCTTGGGAATTTTTAGTAAATATAATTATATAAAACTTTGTATGATATTTATTTTATCCCTCA